TCCATCTGGACTAGGGCTACTAAGAAACAAGGCGTTCCTCCTCCAGATGTCACTCCAGTTGAGTGAGGATGACGCCAAGACCCTAGGGGTCAATGGAGTCACACGATGGAGAAAGCCTGAGTCTCTCACTTACCTTAGGCTGTAGATAACTGAGAAATAAACTTCAATTATGTTTGAACTACATTTGGGTCTGTTTATAACAGTGATTTAGCCTATCCTAATTAATGCACTTTGTTTACTGCAGTAAGGATAGTTAGGAATAAAAGAAGTACATGCATGCATATGTATGTGTGTGTGTGTTTAACAGAAATATTATCACTCCATTCTTGGAAGTCCTTCCAAGTAACATAGCAGAATTCACATGGATTCTTCTTCCAATTCTGTGAAAATAAAAGGTTGGAAATAATTTAATTTGGGAAAGGGTTTGTTAGCAGTCACTGGAACCCAATCACTTTCTCAATTCTGAGAATTCCAAAGGGGCTTTACCACGACTTATCCACCGAGTGATTTTAATCAGTAGTTCTCAGCGTATGGATGCCAGGTCAGCCCCATCAGGGTCATCTGGCAACACGTTAGAAAGGTATGCTCTCACAGGGTCTGCCCCAGACACACAGAATCAGACACCCTGGGGGTGGCATCCAGACCGGCATCCAGACATCTGTGTTTTACCAACAAGACCTCCTTTGATCGTGATGCTTGTTCAAGCTTGAGAACCACCGCTGTGTATCATACCTGCAATTCTTTCTCCTGGGCCCCCATTTCATTTTACAGTTGCCAAATCATTCAAATACTGACACGCTAATTTGCAGGTCCTTTTGCCATTTGTATTGGTGATCGGTTGGTGTACAGAAGTATTACCACAAACTCAGGGTTTAAACTCATGCAGCTATTCCTCTCAGTTCCTGTGGGTTAGGAGTTTGGCCTTAGCTGGGTCTTCTACTTCTCAGTCTCCCAAAGCTGCACTCAAGGTGTCAGCAGGAATGGCTGTCACATCTGAGTCACGGCTGGAAGGGGATCGTCCTCTAAGCTCACATGGTTATTGGCAGCATAGTTTTTTGCTGACTGCCAGCTGGAGGCTACACTCAGCTCCTTGCTGCATGGATCTTTCCAGCGTGGTCCCTGGCTTCTTCAAATCCAGCAAAGGAGTCTCTTCTAACAAAGCAGGACGGGCTGGGGGTTTAGCTCAGCGGCATAAGCGCCTGCCTTGCAAATGCGTGGTCCTGAGTTCCCAATAAAAAACAAAGCAGGAATTATAATCTTATCTAACTTGTCCACGTGTGCTAATTGCAAGCGTCCTGTCATCCTTACCATATTCTGTTGGTTCTCATCCTCATTCCAGGGAGGTTCGCTGGGTTCTGCAGCTTTATTCCCAACCACTCAGGGAGCTGAGGCAGGAAGATCACATGCTCAAGCCCAGCCTGGGCAATTTAGCAAGACTTTGTCTCAACATAAAAATTTTAAAACGCTGAGGGGGCGCTCAGCATGAGCCCTTTGGCTCAATTCCAGTACTACTAAGGTTGGGCAGGAGGGAGGGGGCTGCACAAAGGCAAGGACACCAAGAAGTGGAGACCGCGGGGCCACCTTGGAACTGTCACATCACTCAGTCTTTTTTGTTTAAATGCCTACATGCTTTAATGCTATCAAAACTTCAGCGATTCCATTTAGGTCATTTAGTAATAAACATTTTGGAAAATGTGTACCAGAACATTTTTGGCAGGGCTGGCCCTCATTACCCAACCAGTCATCTAAATCAGACTCTGATTTAATTTCTGTCAAAAAGAGTCTGGTAGCAATGCTCAGTTCAAATAAATGCATTACTATAAGGAATTTAGTTATAAGGAATTTAAAATATATGTTGTTGTGCCCCTCATAAGAAATACTATTAAAGGGCTGGGGACTTAGGTCAGTGGCATAAGTGCCTGCCTGGCAAGTGCGAGGTTGTGAGTTCAATCCCTGGTACAAAAAAAAAAAAAAAAAAAAAAAAAAAGAAATACTATCAAAGCTGGGGTTGGAAAGAAGGGAAAAAAGGAATTGAGATGTACTATGTACATGTTCCAGTTCCCTACAATGAATGTCATCATTATATACAGCAAACATATACTAATAAAAATCAAAAGGAAAAGAAAATAAAAAGAAATATACTAGGGGCTGGGGATTTAGCTCAGCAGTTTAAGTGCCTGCCTGGGAAGAGCAAGGTCATGAGTTTGATCCCCAGTACCAAAAAAAGAAAGAAAATAGCCAAGAGAGGTGAATCTCAGCTACTTGGGAGGCTGAAACAAGAGGATCTTTTGAACTTTTGAGTTAAAGATCAGCTAGATCAAGATAGTTGCCTGGGGAACCACATCTCAAAAAAGAAAAAGAAGAGGAGGACAAGGAGAAGGAGAAGGAGAAGAAGAAGAAGAAGAAGAAGAAGAAGAAGAAGAAGAAGAAGAAGAAGAAGAAGAAGAAGAAGAAGAACAAGAACAAGAACAAGAAGAACAAGAAGAACAAGAAGAAACCGATGGTATGGTGGCACACGCCTGTAATCCCAGTACTCAGGAGGCTGATGCAGGAGGGCCGCTGCAAGTTTGAGACCAACCAGGGCTACAGTGTGAGCTCATGTCCAGCCTGAACTGCATAGGGAGACCTTGTCTTGGAAAGACAAAACAAACAAACAAAAAAGAATAAGTGACAGGAAAGGAAAATAAAAAGAGGAAAGTTTACTAAAGCACATAGATCAAGATTAAACCAATGCCGATCTACATAAGGAATCATACCACGTTACCAACACAAGATAATAATGGTAGTCCTTGCTATTTTATAATTACTCAAATTATGAAATTGGCTAAAAGTATTAATTATTATTAATGTGATGAGTGATATTGAGGGTGGGGTGCTCTCTTGAAAATGTGTGCACAGAGGTTTTGAACTCTGGTGGATAGCTTTTGGGAATAATGCAATTAAGCAACGCATTAAAAAGGCCAAAATAGCTCCATTAATTTCATTAGACATTATGATTAAATTTCCCATGTATTTAATGAAAAAGAAAGGTATATACTGCTAAAACTAATTGGTTTAGCAGCTAGCATATAATTTTATTTTTTGTTACTAGCAGGTGGAAAATCTTATTACGAACTGAGATGAGTATTGACCATAATTATAATGCACATTTCATAATATGATTTGATAAAATAGATTTTAACTGAATGATGCACAACGAATTCGAAAGCAAGTGAGAGAATATATTTGCTGTGCCTGTATGGAGGACTCTTCATTTTGTATGCAAACTTGTTTTGGTGAAAGTTACAAATCCATGAGAAGTAGAAAGAAAGTAATAGACCTCTGTAAATGCTCACTTCAGCTATCATCCCATCTCTAAGCTTTTAAAATCAACTTTAGCTCCTAAACCCAAAGGTATTCTCCAGGCTTGCTGCTCAGGGCCCATGGCTCGGCTTGATACTTTCTCAGGGTTGGACTGAGATGTCTGGCAGGGACACTCCTGGCGCTGTGTTCTTCCCACCGTGTCACGTCCAGAGGCACATTTCAGCACAATTCAGCATCCCCTGATGCTGGATTTGGTCACAGTGTGAAGATGGTGCTATCGGTTCTTTTGATTATAAAAGTACTTTTTCATACAGAATCAAGCTGATGTGTCCATCAGCAGATGAATGGTCCTGGGCTGTAGCTCAGCAGCACAGCACCTGCCTGGTAAGCATGACGTCCTGAGTTCGATTCCTGGTATCAAATAAGCAAAGCAGATAAATGAGTAAAGCACGTGGGATGTCTGTGCAAAATGGAGCCCTACACAGCCACAGACAAGAGTAAAATACATCATTTTCAGCAACGTTGGTGGACCTGGAGGTCATAATATCTAGTGATTTAAATAATGCAGGCACAGAAGGACAACACCACATAATTTCACTCACATTTGAATTTAAAAAGAGCTGAATTCATGGCATTAGAGAGCAAAATCATAGCCGGAGAGAAGGACTGAGGTCTAGTGTTCTACTACACAGAAGGGTGCTTCTATTTTATTTTGTGAGACAGGCTTTCATTTCGTAGGTCAGGTTGACTTTGAACTTACTTTGTTACCCAAGTTGTTCTCAAATTCAAGGTAATCACTTTGCCTCAGCCTCTTGGGTGTTGGGATGCCAGGTATGTGCCACCTGCCTGGTTTTTTCCAGCTATTTATTTTTTAATTTTTTTTGTCTGTTTTGGACAGGGTCTCGCTATGCAGCTCAGGCTGTCCTTGAGCTCACTTGGTAGCCCAGGCTTGTTTCAAACTTGCAACAATCTTCCTGCCTCAGTCTCCTGAGAGCTGGGATTACAGACATGTGCCACCACGCCTGGCTTTTCCAGCTGTTTTAAATTGAATGTCACAGTGTTGTTGATTATAAATAAGCTTCTAGCAGGCACCGTGTTGCATGCCTGCAATTCCAGCACTTGGGAGACTGAGATAGGAAGATCACAAACAGTTTAAGACTGGAACTGAGACTGCAGACTATGGATCAAAGTGAAGGATGTCACCAGTATGTCACTGCAATGATTGGGTCAAAAAATCTTATCGGTTGACCCACGTTGTATCCACCTCCCAACTTCCTTTGAGAAGTGGGCACCTTGATTACCCCTTTGGGACCCCTCCTGTCTCTCAGGAGCTATTTCTATTCTCCATTTCTTTTCCCCGGTGACTTTTCCATCTATCTCTGTCTCTCTCTCTTTGTCCTGAGACAGGGTCTCCATGCTCCAGGTTAGGCTGGCCTTGAACTCATTTTATAGCCCAGGCTAGCTTCACACTTCACACTTCACCCTCTTGCTCAGCCCCCAGAGTGCTGGTATTACAGATGTTTACCACCATGCCCAGCTGATTTTCCTTTTTTCTTTTTTTTGTACCAGGGATTGAATTCATGACCTTGTGCTTGCCAGGCAGGCGCTTACGCCACTGAGCTAAATCCCCAGCCCTGATTTTCCTTCTTGATAGGGTTATTTCCAAAAGATGAAAAATATTAACAAAAGATGAGAAATATAAAATAAAAAGCGGCCTTTATTCTGAGAACACGGAGAGAGATGACCGGCAACCCCCACCGCTGGCGTCCGGCGATCTCTCCAGCGGACACGCGGCGTGGGGGCCTGTAAATAGCCTCGGTTTGGGGTGGAACCTAAGGTGGGCATTAGGGAAACACAGGTAGCCCATTGGTCCTAGGTTTGGCGCCATATGTAAATTCCCAGGGGCGGGAAGATGGCGTCACAGGTAACTTCCTAGGGGCAGGGCAAGATGGGGCTTCCTGCTTCTGGCTGTGGCTTTCCTGGCTACAGTGTCCTGTCTGGGCCAAACCTTTCATATCCCGTCTTATGGTTATTATTATGAAAAGGGGCGAAGATTTCTCTCTTTAACTACTTCCTGCTGGCAAAGGGCGCTGTACTGGAGCCTAGGGGAGTCGACGGGATGAAGGTTGATGCCCAGGTAGACGCTGGTGCCAGGTGTTTTGGCCAGGACAGCTTCACTGGTGAATGCACGTATGTCAGACTGGAAAAACAAAGAGACAAGATGTTATGAGGAGACATGGCACTGTCATATTTAAGGACCCAGGTGAGGTAGAAGGAAAGGTGCCTTTGATTTAGACATATCATTCTATCAGGACCATGTTGAGGTAGAAACATTTCCACAGTAAGGCAGAATTCTGAAAATTAAACGTGGGGTTAGGAGGAGTGGAGTTATGAGAGATGCTTACTCCCCCATCTGAAAGCGTAAAAGTTAAGACGGTAGGTTGGTGAGGCTTGTCTCTGGAATGCATGATGTTGGAGTCTGTAGGCAATACTGTTAGAGTCCTGCTGTAAAAATGATCATTAATAAAATGTAAGAAATTAGGAACCAAAGTGGATAACAAAACATGACTTAGCCTGTTAACTGTGGCTGCGCGGCCTTTGTGAGACGGAGATGGGTAGGTGACAGAAGATGAGATGACCACTCAGAATGATCAGATTTAGGGCTGGAAGGACACCTCTTAGCCTGAGCGATGTGAAACCAGGATGGCAGTCCAGCAACTTTGATTTGGGCATGGGTCGCTGTATCCTGGTTGTAGTCCTTGGAATGATTTGCTGTAACAGAACTTTAGCAAGTATGAGAAAGGCTTTTATGTATCCTGAGAAAGTATAAACCAAGTGAGAAGACAAAAACGTATCTGTGAGTCTTGACCAGGGTTACCTGAGAAATTGGTGAATAAAATAGGAAGGGGGTGGTCTATATCACTGAGGAAGGGTCCACCAGCGACAACAGGTGGAAGCTGTTGAGGCCTCAGTGTGTCCAAGTCAGCCTGTATAAAAGGCATTTTAAGATTTAGGACTGGGACCTGCACAAAATAGGCCCTGTTTGTAAATGGCATAGGTTGACCATCAATACCCCATCATAGAGATTGAGGACTTAATATAGCAGCCTGAATACTCAGGAAGAACTCTGTATATATGGCCTCTATGTCCACAAATATAGAGAATGTCTTACCTGAGAGTTTTGTGCGACTTGGAATCTGAGACGGACACCTTAAAGGGGGCTGTTGTTGCCCTGAACTTCCTCAGTCTTCAGCAGCAATTTTCTGTCGGTGACTAATCTGGCAGTGTCGACATTTCCTATGAGGGCTAGAACTTAGGATGGCTTACCCACTCTCTGGTGGCTAGGACAGTCCAGTAGCCCTGGAGTAAGGTCTCAAAGAATGCCAGGATGGGGCATTTTCTTGTCCAGTATCTTCTGCTGCATTTGAGCATGGTCCATGGAGGGGCCAGGCAGCTCCACCTTGTGTAGGTTTACCTGTCTCAGAACTCCAAGTGTCACAAGTGTTAAAAATATAAAAAACCATATTAAGATCTCTCTAAGGTTTGAAGGTCAAGTTTTGCCTTTTTGTTTGGGATTTGGACTATAGTAGAATTAAGTAAGTATGCAGGAATTTAATATTGGCATTTTAGATTAGAGAGCAGGCTTTATCTGGATGGCATATCGCTTTTTTTTTTAGGGTGACACGTAGAATTAACAAAGCTTTAGTCTACCAAACAAGGCTTTAATGGAAACATTTTGCAGTAAAGGTTTAGCAATCTTATGAATAAATCAATCAAAACTGATCTAATACTGTCAAATTCTGAACACATTTACTTTTAAAGTTGTTATTTGCAGTAGTATGAACCAAGACAAATAAAATAAAACTTTAAAGAAAACCCTTGTCTTGAAATAGAGCTAGTGGTTCCCAGCAAAAAGGAATTTATAACCTTAGTTGTTAAACAGGAGATTGGTGAAGGCTTTGATTGATAAACAAGGCTGGTAAAATTATCAGGTGGCCAATAACCTTGATTAAATGGTTTGAGAATTGTAATAAAAAAGCATCTTTTGAGTGGAGCCAAATTGTAAAAAAAAGCATGCCTGAGCAGAGCCGCTGAGCTGCTGTTTCGCGGTGCTCCGGCAGAGCACGCCCAGTGGGTGGGGCAAGCGCTGGGATGTAGCGCGCAGGTGCGGGCTCGGACTGCCCCCGGAAACGTGTAAGGTGGCAGCGGCGACGACGACGGCGCATGGGGGAGGGAGGGGCTGGGACGGCGCATGGGGGAGGGGCTGGGAGGCGGCCCAACGTAGTGCGCAAAGCAGGAACTGCTTGCAGGGCACGAGGATTAGAAAGCCAATTTAGGAACACAGCTGGGTTTTGATTAGCTTCCTGGACCTGTTTTAAAAGTTTGTTATAGTTAGTATGCTTGTCCTGCTCTGGCACAGCTATAGGCCTAGAGTCATTACCAGCGGTGTTTACCTCATGTTTGTGACCAGCTTTTTCTCGAACTGTTTGCCACAGCTGATTCCGTTCTTGTGAGATGAGAGAGGTATCTAGAATCACATAAACATCCTTAAAATGTAAATCATAACAATTAGTAATGAATTCAAATTGCCTGATATCGTTCTGTGGGTCAACAGAGAGGCTACCTAATTTATGGACAGTCTGGGATAGATCAGAAAGGGAAAAAGGCACATGGATGTTAACAAGTCCCTTGGAGCCAGCTTGCTCCCGAAGCGGTAGCAGAGCCTGAGGAGATTCCGGAGCAGAGGGCCCTTGAGCAGCCATCCTTCCGGTAGGCGCATGTGAGCAATCATCTGTAGAGCGGCTACAGAGCTGCTGCCGGTCACCCTGGGAAACATAGGCAGATGGCATCTCACTGTGTGCCTTGCAGCTAGAGGACTGCTGTCGGCAGCACAATGAAGTGTCATGTGCACTGCAACAGGGCGGCTGTTGTAGTTCACAAGAGGAGCCACAAAGAGATGCCTGTTGACAGTGAAGGCCCTGGAAACATGGCGGCGCCCTGTCACGTGACCCAAAACATGGTGGTGCCTGGGAACATGGTGGCGCCCTGTCACGTGGCCCGAAACATGGCGGCGCCCTGTAGCCATGTGGCCCTCCGGAACATGGCGGCGCCATGCCACGTGGCAGAGGGTTGCAACATGGCGACTGTTCCCCGCGCAAGCTGGAACAATCACGCGACCTGCTGGAAGGACATAGCGAGCGAGACCTAGTATGGTGGGCAGGCGGTGAGAATGCTGTAGGGGATAGAGAATTCTCAGGAGAAGTTGGAGACTGTGAGGAAGCACTAACAGAGGGATCAGAGCCACTGGGAGAGTTATGGGTCCCAGGAGAAGGCGGGGGAGAGGATGGAACATCGGGAGATAACTGCGACACAGAGGGATTAGAGCTGCTGGGAGAATTATGGGTCCAAACCCAAAGAACGTGAGAGATTTTGTGGGCGCAGGTTTGCCCAGAAAGAACCCTGCCCTGGGCGGTCCTAAGGACGTGAAAATGCACAGACCCACGCAGACGGGGAGAACATTCCACTGGGGCTGCCCAGTGCGAAAAGTTCCCCGGGGAGTGCTCACCTGAAATCAGTCTGGCCGATGCGGAGTGCAGGCGGCTGGCGACAGGAACGTCTCGGGAGAGGAAAAAGCTCGGGATTAATCCAGGATGTTATCTGGTTATCGGCGAGGAAACTCTGGGTATGTGGCCCAAGAGTTAGTTGCCTGCCGATCGAGTCACGGTACCAAATGATAGGGTTATTTCCAAAAGATGAAAAATATTAACAAAAGATGAGAAATATAAAATAAAAAGCGGCCTTTATTCTGAGAACACGGAGAGAGATGACCGGCAACCCCCACCGCTGGCGTCCGGCGATCTCTCCAGCGGACACGCGGCGTGGGGGCCTGTAAATAGCCTCGGTTTGGGGTGGAACCTAAGGTGGGCATTAGGGAAACACAGGTAGCCCATTGGTCCTAGGTTTGGCGCCATATGTAAATTCCCAGGGGCGGGAAGATGGCGTCACAGGTAACTTCCTAGGGGCAGGGCAAGATGGGGCTTCCTGCTTCTGGCTGTGGCTTTCCTGGCTACAGTGTCCTGTCTGGGCCAAACCTTTCACTTCTCTTATCCTCTGTTGTTCCTTAGAATTCATTCTTCAAAGTCAGAGAACACAAACTCAGCCTACCTGACATCTAGCATTTCCCCTGTATCAGTGACAACTCCTTGGAATGAGTGTTGAGAAGAGAACACCCAAAGGAACTCCTTTCTCTCCTATGTCAAGTTCCCCAGAAGCACAGCGGACTGGGAGTTTTGCTCAAGTGCTTTCCCGGGAGGAGCTTTGCAGAGGTGGTGAAGGCATTCAAGTAAGGCGATGTGCTTTCTATACCTCCTAAAGGTCAGTCAGTAGCAGAATTAGGGTTGCGAGGGTCTCCCCTTTTTCTTTCAGGTTTCCTGATTGGCCATAAACAATTTTGTAAGAAGAGGGCAACTCTGATCTGTATCAGCCTTTACTGACAACATTCAAATTCAAAACGATTTCCCATATGGAGCTAACCAAACAAAAGACCTTAGAAAAACAAGTTCCTCTAGTTTCCGACTCTTAGAATAGATAATCGGGTCAATGGAACAGATTAGAGGGACAAACTCACTTCAAAATGTAACAAATGGAGCACAATATGGCTTTGTAGTTAAGCGCTTGCCTTGTATGTGCAAGATCCTGAGTTCAGCTAAAGGAGAAAAAAAAAAATTCTTTTTCCGATCGCAGCGTATCATCAAGCATTATTTCAAACCAAAGGTTTTGGGGTGTTTTTTTTTTGTTGTTGTTTTTACACTATGACACCTTCAACTCCAACAGAAAAGGACTACATAGGGATACTTGGATAATAGGGATCTTAAATTTTAATCTTCCTGGACCAAATTGGCTTAGTTAGGCTGCACCCCATTCCTGAACCTAATGCTCTGACCAGGCAGACAGCAAGGTTGATTTACATATCCAAGCCCAGAGCTGGAATTTGGGTCAGTTCCAAAGAACGCCTTGGGCTGGAAGAAGGCTCCCTCAAGGGAAAAAAAGGGCTATTAGTAAAAAAATAAAAAAGATGCGGAGCAGGAGGCAAAACCAGCAGATGCCTGCTATAACTGATTATTCAATTAAGATGTTTAGACTTCTTTTATGTCATTTAAAAAGACCAAGTTTGGCTAGGCCAAGGGACGGTGTGGAGGGAAAGAAGGTGGATATATATATATATATATACATACCCACTATACATATATAGTTTTTTTTTTTACTTAAATTTTTTTTTTACTTATTCTTTACACTGAAACAAATCAAGTTATTTAAATCCAGATTATTGGGGCTGGGGATTTAGCTCAGTGGCATAAGTACCTGCCTTGCAAGCAGGCAGTCGTGAGTTTGATCCCTGGTACTGATAAAAATGAAAAAGACCAAAAAAAAAACATCCAGATTATTTAAGTTTTGTGCGTAAAAAAGTCAACCACAAAAATACTGGAAGAAAGCATGACTGAAACATTTTTAAAAGGAGAGTAGAGAGAGTATCTTTTAAGACAGACACAACACACAGAAACCATAAGAGATAATATTGGTAAAATTCAACCATATAAAATCTTAAATTTTTGTTCGCAGAAAATATTGTCCCAAGGGCTGGGGATTTAGCTCAGGGGCATAGGGGCCTGCCTGGTCAGCACGAGGTCCTGAGTTCCATCCCTGGTACCAAAAAATTTTTTAAAAAATAAAGAAAAAATATATATATGGGATGTGTGTGTGTGTGTGTGTGTGTGTGTGTGTGTGTGTGTGTTGGCCAGGCAGGCCCTTATACCTCTGAGCTAAATCCTTGGCCATATATATATAACATATATATATATATATGTATATATATATATATATGTTTTGTTTTTGGTCTTTTTGAGATAAGATCTTTAAGTGCAGTTCAGGTTGGCCTTAAGCTCACTTTGTAACCCAGGTTGGCCCCAAACTTGTAACGATCCTCCTGCCTCAGCCTCTTGAGTGCTGGACCAAAATATTATAGACAGCTAAATCAGGTAGAGATATTATAGGTCAGAGAGGGCTGGGCCTGCAGGGGAGTCAGTGTGAGTGAGGAGGATGACCATATATTACAGATGTGACTAGAGGTGCATCTGAAAAAACTGAAAGCCATAATGGATATAATTAATATATATGTAATATCTATCTATCTATATATCTATAAATACATATATATCTCTAAGGGATAAACTGGAGATTATTGGTACCACTCTTTTGAGATTTCTGGCATAAAAAAGCCATTATCTCATTAGGAGTAGGGTATGCTCTCCCACCCACTAAGACTAACACAAAAGACAAGACTAGGGACTGGGATTTAGCTCAGCAGCATAAGTACCTGCCTTGCAAGCATGTAGTCATGAGTTCGACCCCCGGACAAGACTAACACTATAGATCATTGACCAAGTACATATCATCTGCTTACACTTGCTACACGACCTGCTTCCCCATTGGACTGATATTACCTAAATGGCTATACTTGTGGTCTTACTGATTAATCATCGTTTTGACCTACATTGCAACCTCCTCATGATTTTGCTCTATAAAACTTCTTTTGGGGGGAAAAAGTCCTGTGATAGGTGGGCTCACGGACATCCCATTTTGGACCCCTCCTGTCTCTCAGGAGCTATTTATTTCTCCATTTCTTTTACCCAGTAAATTTTCCTACTCTTAACCTCTGTTGTTCATTAGAATTCATTCTTTGACTTCAGGGAACACAAACTCAGAGGACTGGACATCTAGCAGGTTAGGAAATATATTTATTTCCCCTCTATTGTTTGGGGGCCTATATCAAGATGAGATAAAGAAGACCTGCAGTGAAGTAGTAGTGAAGAAAATCCATGCAAGCAACGTTAAGACAGTCACACAGCCAGGGATATAGCTTAGTGGCACAAGCACCTACCTGCCAAGTGTCAGGTCCTGCGTTTGATTTCCACTCTCCCCCACCCCCCCCCAAAAAAAAGAAAAGAAATAAAAATATAGAGACCTTTTCATCTTCAGAGAATAAAACAAATGTTAAAATATTTCTTGGGTTTAGGAAAAAATGAAAAACTGTGGTTGGGCTGGGGATTTAACTCAGCAGCATAAGTGCCTGCCTTACAAGTTCAAGGTCATGAGTTTGATTCCTGTACCAAAAATATAAAAAATAAAAATAAAAAGCTTTGGCCTATCTAGAGACAATAATAACAGAAGCAACAAGTTAGAACCTGTGGAATAAAGCTTACTGTTCAGAAGAAATTCTGTATGTTTATTTATATTGATAAAGAAGAAAAATTAGCCATCAGACTCTAAAATTTTAAAAGGAAGAGCAAAAAACACCAAAGGAAAACCTAAACAGATCTGTTAGAAAACAAGAAATAGTAGAAATAAAAATTAATCAAGATATGGGCTGGTGACATAGCTCAGTGAATGGCACTTACTGAGCTCACGATAGGCCAATGGCTCAATTCCCACTATAGCAAAATACAATTAAAGAAAGAAATGCACCCCACCCCCAGGAAGTCCACACTCTAATCCCCAGGGCCAACAGGACTTTGCAAGTGTATTAAGATCCAGGGCTTTGTGGCCGAGGATTTAGCTCAGTGTTGTAAGTGCCTGCCTGGCAAATGTGAGGTCATGAGTTTGATCCCCAGTACCCCCATCTCCAAAAAAAATGGCCCTTAAAATGGGAAGAGTATCCAGGATTATCCAGGTGGACTCAATTGAATCCCAAGAGTTGGTACATTGAAGGAACATTTCCCAGGAGAGGTCAGAAAGATGTGACAAGTCAGAGATTTGCTATAAGAATTCCACATCCTGCTGTGGGCTTAAAGATGAAAACAGAAGACCAGAAGCCAGCTCAAAAATCGCAAGGAAGGGGTTCTGTCTTAGAGCTCTAAAAGGAGCAGTGCCTGCCAGCCACAGTACCAGGAGGCCCCTGCTGACCACTGAGACAGTGCGTGTGCATCCCCTAAGCCACCAGGTGTGTGGTGATGTGTTACAGAAAAGCAGAAAATCAACACAAGGAGGAAGTTCAGCTTCCAAGTAATCAGTGACACGAATGAAAAATAAACCTCCATTTGGAGAAGTAAAAAAAAAAATATATAAGACTAATATACTAACTCCATGCAAATAACTTTAAAAGCCTGAATGAGATGGGTCTCTAGAAAAATATAATTTCCCCAAACCAACACAGGCAAAAAATAAAAATAGACCAATTTCTATGAAAGAAGTAGAGAGATTTATCATACAGTTAGGGATTACCCTTTGTAATCCTTGCAAAAATTTTCATAATGAGAAATTTTTATTAAATTACTTATGTTATAAATTATCAGTTTTAATAAAAATTGAAACTGACAAGTAATAAAGACTATACAGACAAAAATTATAAATAATATGATTTATAAACACTGTATGAATATACAATTAATAAATAAAATATTAACAGATCCCAGTAGCATTATAAAAATAATAATAATAAATAATGACTATTATTGCAAGGAAAACAATTTATTTAATATATGATACATAATTTATAGTATTATTTTATAGTAGTCACCCAAAGAGACAAACACAAAAAGTGCAGGAAATCTGTACACACACTAAAGACCCAAAGAATCTAGCCCAGAGCCTGGGTCCCATAGCAATGTCCTGCATGAATTCAGCTGAAGATCTAGAGCCCATGACAATGCCCCCCACAAGTCCAACTGGAGGCCTACGCCCACCACAATGACTCATGTAAGATCTGTCTCACGGGAAGCCCAATCTGGAAACCAGTATCATGCGCAGGCCCCCCACCAGATTGGGAACAGCGAGAACCAAGCCTCTTCCAGCATGCAGGCTGCAAACAAGAAGTACCAATTACCACCCATCCCCCAACCCTGCAAGCGACTGGTTTATCCAGAGAAACACAGGCCGTGATGATAGCTATCGAAGTAAAATGCAATTGGATGCCTGTGGTGCTTTGGTGTTTCACTAACATTGCAGGTTTAGGGCAAATGATCTGACCATAGGTTCAGAGGATATTGCTATGCAGTGTGGCATCTAGGAGGATCTCCTTCTGAGGGTCATAGCCATTATTGATTCCCTATGGTCTTTTTTAAGGTCTTATATTATTTGCATTGTTTTGCTGGGTTGGTTTTTATTCCCATTTGTTTTGTTATGTTAAATCTGATGGCCCACTTCCAGGAGAACATGGCAGACAGAT